ATGGAGGATGATGACCGATGATGGTGGTGGATTGAGGCGCCAGGTGGTTGGTAGGAGGGGGGGGGTGGCTAGTAGTAGTAGTAGTAGTAGTAGTAGTAGTAGTAGCAGCAGCAGCAGCAATAGAAGTAGCAGCAGTAGTAGTAGTAGCAGTAGTAGTAGTAGTAGTAGTCGTCGTCGTCGTCGTAGTAGTAGCAGCAGCAGCGGCAGCACTCGTCGTCGTCGTCGTCGTCGTCGTCGTCTTTGCATGCCTGTGCTAAATGAACTTCATCATTAGTTCGGGCAAAATTGCCACCAGCATCTTCACAATAACAGCCATCAGAAACCTTGCATGTTGCCACAGTCCAAGAGAATTCCTGGCACGCGCTTCTGCTGAGCCACATTGTTTGTGAAGCAGCCTGGATAACGCCCAGCATGACTGGCCTAGCAGCAGGGAAGGCAGACGAAGTTTGGTTCAGGGTTGATCTCACCCCTCTACCAGGAGCAACTTGAAGCAACAAACTGAAAACTCCACAAAGTGCTCAATTGCACCATCCTCCAGATTTCTCCGAGCTGCGATGGAGAGCATGGCACCAACGTCCCCCAGCGTGGCACCCCCACCTGCTGCAAGGTCATCTTCGGCAGGTCCCACCTGATTACTCCAGCATAGCGGGTTGGGGTTTAGGCTTCAGGTTTCGGATTTGAGGATTGAGATTTCGGGGTGTCGAGTACTAGTGCTTGTGGAGATGGCGCCCCTGGATTTAGTTCGACGTAGCTTGCCTACTGCTCAGCAGCTTTTATCATGAAGCAGCTTGGCTGCCAAGGGATATGTTTGCAATCTCTGCGTGACTGAGCGGGCTGCCTGCCCATAGATGTAGTCTACCAGATCTGGCACGGTGGGGTAGTCGAACATGAGAGTCGAGGACCTGTGCAAGCACAGTTAGTCATTTTTTATTGGTGTTCTAGGGTCTTGATGATCCAACTGCAGAAACATTTGTAGCTGAGGCAATCACAGCTGCAATCCTTCGAAAGATGCTTGGAGCCGATTGCGGAACTCGACGCCAGCCAAGGAGTCCAAACCTGGGGAGGTGGTTAACCAGGCATCATAACATAGCTGGCGCGAAGCCTCCTTCGCCCTAGAAAGTTGTCAACATGAAGTGCGTCAAGCGCACTAACAGAAAACCAAGCTGAATAAATTCTGGGACAAGGAACCCATCTCCATCAAAGGTGTGGACAGATCCAGGTCACCCTCCCCTTCCAACACATCCTGCACACTGTCATCGGCAATGCAAACGCCGAAACACAATCAATACTAATCTGGATAAAACTTACATGTTGCAGCTCCTGCAGCAAATCACTTGCCTCGACTCTACAAAGCATGTCCCTGTTGGCTCTTGGGATCAGGGCAGAGGTCGGTAGTCCTGAAGGACGCCGACAACCACACCCTTGATGTCATCGGCGCTCACCTCGTTTGCTCGCTTTCAGCCCCTTCAAGAGAGTGCCCAAAAAACAGGTGCTAATGCAGCTCAGGTGCGACTGCGCCAGCTGCAGCAGCCGAGGCTTTCTTTGGACCACTGCTGCCACCGAACTTGCTCAGCACCTCACAAGCGACCACTGCCAGCTAGCACCAGTTCAAACGCGAAACCGCGGAAGAGTACGGTAGGTCTCCGACCGGTGGGACTTTGGGCATCTGCCCCAGGAGCGACTTCCACTTGATGCGGGCAATGCCCAGCGTACCTCTCAGGGAGAGGCTCTTCCTTCCGATGGTACGAGCTCTGCTTTTACCTGTCTGCCCGCCACTGGTTTTGAAAATCTTTAGTACTCGTACTCATAGTGCTCGTAATGCTAATCATTCTCTGTTAGCATCTATATTGACGGAAGCACTAGCGCTAGCTCTAGTAGCAGTGCTGTTGTGCTGGTGTTGGAAGTGGTACTGTTGTTCTTATTGCTGCTAAACTCTAAAATCCAAAATCTCTAAAGCAGCCCCAGAGCTCCCGAAGCCCCCCAAACGAACCCTGAAAGAAAAGCCCCCGCCACCCCCCAAACACTAAACGCAAAAAAAGCCTCAAACCCCTGACCCCGAACCTTCAACCCCTAAATCAACCCTACACGGACCCGAAACAAACCCTAGACCATCTAGAACCCTAAACTACCAAAACCTTGGCCATAAAGCCAACTAACTCTAATCTAGACCCTTAATACCCTAAACCCTAAACCCTAATAGACCCTTAATAGGGTTTAGGGTTTTAGGGTTTAGGGACCCTTAAGGAGTCTTGCCTGCGGGTCTGAGGAGGCTCGCTGCTCCGAGGACCAAAGCCATCGCTTCGAGGCCCCGTTCAGGATCCAGGCGGGCGATGCTGCCTCTAACATCCAAAAGTTTAGGGTTTAGGGGTTTAGGGTTCAGAGTTTCGGGTTTAGGGTTCATAGTTTAGGGTTTAGGCTTTAGGGGGTGGGGATTTTCGGTGTGCTCAAAGCTTTTAAAGCATGCGGACAGGGCTGAAGGTTTAGGGCATCCCATGGGCTTGTCTAGGAACCAAAAAGGTGGGCTTCACTGGGGTTTCGGAGTTAAGAAGTGTGAAGAGAGGAGTTTTTACGGTTTCTGGTTGAGGCCTTTGGGCTGTTGGGTTTCGGTGCTTGGGGGCTTCTAGCTTCGGATTTCGGAGGCGCTTCGGGGTGGACAGTCTTAGGATGTCCTGGAGCTCCGAGGTTTCACGAGCTTCACTCAGTCATCCGGCAGCAAGCGCTGAACAAGAGGATCGGGAACAAGAGCGACTGACTGACATCTGAAGCTGAAGGAATTCTAACTAAAACATTGGCGATCACGACGACCGCCACGACGATATCGGCTGCTCGGCCTTCGGATGTTCCGGCCCTTGCCGCCATGCCAACGTCTGCCCAGGGGCCCCACTGCAAGGAGATGGCCGGCAAGTTGCGTGCCCGCCGCCGTGCACCCATGGAATCCATGAAAGCATTGGCAGCACAGTAGTTACCTCGGGACAGCTGTGGCATGCCAACCAAGTCTGACTGCCGCCTGATTCCATCAAATCTCATCAGATTCTGCCAGGATGCCCTGTGCAACGGACCCGATCATGGCGGCCACGGAGGAGAACAGCCACATGAACTGCAAGGCACGGACAGTGCTCTACTGGAGTGCAGCAGCCGGCCCCTTCAGAAGCAACTTCCCGGCCTCCAGCGGTAGATCCAGCTGGTCTGCCGCATTGTGAAGCTGGAGGGAACCATCCACCTTTCCAAGACGTCACCCTCACACACTCCTTTTCGGTACCAATACTAGAACATTACTGCCGATACTGACTACTGCCATCACGGCATGAAGCTGTCAAGAAAAAAGCGCCTTGGCCGAGCACACCGTCTTCAGGGTCGTGCGGTCCTGGCCATCTTTGATGAGGCCATCGGCCAGGGTTCCGGCAGCGTGCACAATGCCCTTGACCACGTGCTTCTCGTCCAGCACCTGCGTGGTCACGCGCAGGACATCGGCACCGGAGCCGATGTCGCACTTGCGGGCGGAGAAGGTCACGCCCTTCATCTTGGCCATCTGCTTCTCGAGCTTTCGGAAGGCGGCCTTGGAGTCCGCGGGCGGTTGGCCGCTTCGGGACAGCAACGCGAAGTGCCGTGCCCCGCAGCGGACCATCCAGTCGACGAAGAGCAGGCCAAGGGCTCCGGTTCCACCTGTGACCATGTACATTCCATCGGACCCGAAGCTCGGATTCCCAAGATCGTTCTGCAGCCTCTGGGTCGAGTCCACGAGCCGCGGCACCAGGAGCTTTGCCGTGCGTGCCGCGAGCTCCGGCTCTGCGAGACCAGCGGCCCGCTGCTTTGACAGGTATTGCAACTGCGCGGCCAGGCCCGAGGCCGAGCACTCCGCCTCCTCCAAATCCAAGGTCACCGTGCTGGCGAGCTCGGGGTGCTCGTTGCGGAAGGCCTGCATAGGGGGGGATGAAGTGACGCCGCAAATGCAACAGGCACAAAGCAGGGGTGACTTGTCAAGTGAAAAAACCACCACGGGTGAGGAATTGGGGCCACAGAGTACTTCTAAAGCTCCAGGCCTTTGCAAGGCCCCAGATTCCTGCATGGCTTGCGGGAAGCCTGGCCGATGCCGAAGCTAGATCGCCATCTACAACGGCATTGCCCAAGCAAATCGGAAGCCAGAGCTCCGGCATGCCATCGGCACCATCCTGGAGACAGAGACTCAGAAGCTCAACTCGACATTTCACTCAAGGCTCATTCGGCTCAATGACTCCATTGAAAATCTACGGCCCTAGGGTCCTCCTTGGCAGCCTGGGCCATGGCTTGCATCAGCCGCAGCGTGCGATCGAGCACATCCAAGACTTCAGCAGCGGCTGCTGTGGCGTTGTTCGGCAAGGCTGCGATGCCCGCGATGTTGATCACCCTGCGCAGATTAGAGCACTCTCCGAAAATCATCTCCTGGCTACAAGTACTCTTCCTTACATAAAACAGGTCAGAGCCTGGAGTAGTCGTGCATCTTGCCCCACTCTGCGGAACTGTCAAGGCTCGCGAAGCAATGATTGCTGCCGAGAAGAGACTTCAGCTCATCCAAGAAGCCTTGCGCGAAAAAAGTGAGTGAGAAGGGAGCAGCATAAGAAACTGCTGACACTCCTCTTCGACGAAACGCGCTCTTATAGGTATTCATGTCAGGCAGCCCTGCGATGCTTTATGGTAAAGGACAAGCCAGCGCTCTTCAGGAGTGTCCGCGCTCTCCTCGACTTCGGCCGCTGCCTGCCATTCGATCTCGTAGATCTTCTGGTCCTCGGGCTTCGGAAGAGAGGAGAGAAGGAGAGATGGGAGGGGGCATACCTTGCGTGCTCTACGTTCTAAGTTCCAAGAGCTCTGAGGCTGAGTGGCATCTTCCGGAGTTGACTGCGCGGCGATCGCCATCTGGATCTGCTCGGGCAGCACCTTGCGGAAGACCACATTGTCCATGAGCATCAGCACGGTGCCGTTGCTGGACATGACCTTCATGCCAGCAAGCGTGTGCAAGCGGTCTATAGTGAGAGGATTTCGGGCGAGAAGAAGAACTGGCTACAATCTAAAGAGGACAAGGAAGCCAGACAGCCAGAAAGAGCGCTAGAGCTCTAAACAGAGAAGGAAGAGGCTGGAGAAAAATCGATGCCTACTCCGATGTTTGGAGGATTCACAGCCTTGAGGTCGAAGGTTTCTGAAGCCTCGAGCTTCTCCTTGATGCTCAGCCAGATCCAGTACTCGTCCTGTTGAGAGAAGTTTTCACTTTGGATGATGGAGACGCGGCCCACACCACCGAAGATCTTCAGGTCATTTACGTTCTTGCCAACAGACGCCGTTCCCAAGCTGTGAATCGTTCCATCGAAGACTGCCGGATGTAGGACATAGCCAACGTTCGGAACGCCATCATCCAGCTTGAGACGTCCCAAGACCTCAATGACCGTGCTCTCACTGTCCTCATCCGGCTCTTTGCGCCACAGCTGCTTTGCTGTTTGGAACATTGGACCCAGGTACAAGCCCACACCATCAATGGCAGCATAGACATCTTTCGTGGGAACGACCTCAACCACACGAGCCTTCAACGACTCGAGGTCGACCGGCGTGGCTTTGGCCGCGTTGTCCACCTCCGCTTCTTCGCCCCTGGCAGGGGCCCGGTTGATGCCGCCCTCGGCGTGAACCGTCACGGTCCCCGTGGCCGAGGTGCTTTCGATCTGGAAGCGGGTGTCCGACTTGAGGACGAAGCGCATAATCGCCGCAGGCTCGGCGCCGGTTGTTCGAATTGGGATGACGAAGGGGAACATCATGTTCACGTCCGTGATTCGCACTCCGGCGCCAAAGAGCTCCCTCGTGGCCTCCAGTGCCATCTCCACGAAGACGACGCCCGGCACCACGATGGAGCCAAAGACGACGTGGTGCTTCACCACCTCAGGGAGCGATGGAGGCCTAAAGGCCCACGGGTTGGCACTAAATCTTCATCGGGTTGCACTGCTTTTGTAAAAATCCTGAGATTTACAAATTCCTCTCATCCTTAACAGTAAGGCCTGCAGCTCATTTTGATAATTTCGACCGTTATACTAGACTCGACTGCAATGCGTCATGCGGTGCAGTTTCATACATGCTCTGCTACACAGGACTCTGGCCTGCTCTATTCATGAAGCTATTCCTGCGTAATTCGGCTCCATCCGCCTGTGCAGCCGAGCTGAATCAATCCTACGCCCTGCTCTGTAAGTGCATCCCCTGAGTTTCTGGGAGGGTCAGACAACTCTTTGCTGAAGCGACCCGAAAGCAGCTACCTTTTTTGAGAATCCCCTACAAGCACCGACATGAGCCTGGCGGCACACCCCTTTGAAAGTACGTAAACGCCTGGCCTGGCTAGAAAGAAACGAAACAAGCATTCAATTCAATACGAACGAAGCGAAGAAAGGGCCTCGTAGACGTCCATGCGCATTGCCACTTCAAAGATGCCTTCGCTGGGCTTGGCTCGCAAGAAGCGGTAGCCCACCTCTCGCCACGCGAAGTTTCGGCGCTCGAACGCCACGGGCAAGGGCCTGGGCGGCGCTATGGCCTCCTTTTTGGCCAGCTCCATGCGGAAAGCTTCACCTGCCTCCGTCGCTGCAGACACGACTCCATGCGCATTGGTTCCACCGAATCCAAAGGACGAGAGGCCTCCTCCCAGGCGTGAAACATGGCCCTTTTGTGCCATCTCGCCGGCCAGCTTGGAGATGCACACGGATTCGGTGACAAAGATGCCCGGGAGATCGTGCAAGGCTGCCACGCTAGGATTCAGCTGGCGAAGATGCAACGAAGCCATGGAGGCTGCGTGCTCCATCATCACAACAGACTTGATGAGGCCTGTGGAGGCGGCCGGCCCTTCCAAGTGCCCACAGTTGGACTTCACCGCTGCAAGGACGATTGGTGTTTCAGCACTTCGGGAAGCATTTACAGACTTAATGCCACCAATCTCAATGGGGTCACCCAGTGGAGTCCCGGTGCCATGACACTCCATGTGGACGATCTCCTGCGGTGCGAGCCGTGCCTCTGCCAGCGCAATCATCATGACCATGTGCTGAGAGGGGCCATTTGGCGCCGTCAGTGTGGAGCTGCGACCATCTTGGTTCACAGCCACACCCAAAAGCGCACATCGCTCCAAGCTGGCGGAGGGTGTCTGGACGGTCGCTGCGGCAGAGATTGCATCTTCTGGCTTACGAAGCACGACAGCTCCGGCACCCTCACCTCGGGCATATCCGTCTGCTGACGCATCGAAGGTGAAGCAGCGCCCCTTTGCCGACAGCATTCGTGGCTTGCTGAAGCTGATATACGTGGTTGCACTAGCCATGATGTTGGTTGCCGTGTTCAGCGCTGCCATGCATCGGCCCTTTCTCAGTGCGGTGGCTGAGCAATCCAGGGCAACCAATGCAGAAGAGCATGCCGTGTCCACGATGTAACTTGGCCCCTTCAGCCCCAGAGCGTAGGAGATTCGGCCAGCTGAGACAGAGAAGGACATTCCTGTGGCGGTGTAGGGACTGATCTTCTTGAAGTCCCAGCTCTGCATTTGGATCCAGTCGTTGTTCGCAAGACCCACGTGGACAGCGACCTGACAAGGGCCGAGAAACACATCGGCAGGCACTTGCTGAACTTCAGCTCTAGGCCCAAGAGCTCTAAACCAGTGATCTGAGGACTCAAAGAGTAGCGCAGAGTACCGGAGACACGCCCTGCCTCGCTTCCCATCAGCTCCGCCTTGGTGAGCCCTGAATCCAGCAGACCGTTCATCGACGTCTCCAGGAGCAGCCTCTGCTGAGGGTCCATCGCCCGTGCCTGCAACGCTTGGGGAAGTTGGGGAAAGTTGTGCAGGATTTCTCCTTTTTTTTAGACCGCATCTCAGTCCGTTCCTCACTTCGCTCTCTTACTCATGCAATCATGGACGGAGAGGCAGCAAAGCTTGACTGCTTCATTTGTGCTCGTTTCCCTGGGGATGCCAAGGGCTGCCATAGATCCAGTTAGAGTCATTGTGGAAATATATATGTCCCGAGCTCGAAACCGCCTCCGGCGGTGAGATGCCGAAGTACTTGGCATCGAAGAACTCCGCACCTGCACAGCTCTGGGTTCCTCTGAGATGACCAAAACATCGGGGGCAAAGCCGCTGAGCCGTGGGGCGCGCCTTCGACAAAGTTGCCGTGCCGTGGATACCTCGGAGAGACGGTGACTATCAGCACATGTCAGCGAGCAGCCCTCAGACTACCCCCTATGCTAACCCTAGTTGCAACCCCTCTAAATTTTGGGGTCACCTGTGTCACCTCTCTTCTGCAGCACAGGGGCATCTTGCCCTGGGCATCTGGGTTCGGGTCCCAGACCTCTTCCAGCTCCCAGCGTGTGAAGGGCACTTCCACGCCGCCATCCACTCCCTGATCACTGACGAAGCGGCTTCGGGGTGTATTGAAGTATTGAAAAGGGTTCAAGCTTTGCGCGGGGATCGGATGGCTTGTTCCGATCTCTGAGAAGCAGAAGGAAAGAACTTACACTGAAGCGCCGGGACGTTCAAGCCCTGCGCCCAGGTTTAAGTCGGAACCTCTCACCCCGGCTGCCTTGGTCAGAGCGGAGTGGAAGGTCTTGCAGCTGGATGATGCGCCAGGGAAGTATGCAGCCTTCAGCCAGCACTGCTGATCTAACGTCTCTGTTGAAAGGGAGCCCTGCCACAAGGGAAAGGCCTGGAATTCTAGGGCTTCAGTCAGGCTTGGGTAACTTGTGATCGTTTGTTTTGCTCAGCTGGTGGATCTGTTCAGCCGATTTTCTCCTATGTGCCGCTTGAATTTCGTATACTCCGAAGTTGCCGATGCTGCTCGGGCGAAATTGGAATAGCTCCTAAAGGCATGTCAAATTTGACTTCCTGGTGCTCCTTCGATTCAACGTACGCGTGGCAAGCGGGCGTTGATGCTGCTGGTTTGCCGGGCCTCACCTTAGCGCAAGTATTCCTGACACCCCGGATGCAACTTGCAGTCCAAAGCACCATTCCTGCAACGGAGAGCTGCTCATCCAAACTCCCTGGTGGACCTCTGGGGGTTGCACCTGCCACAGAGACAGACCAGACGGCGGCGACAAGGATGTATCTTCAACATCGACATCATTATCGATATCTTCACCGTCTGGCACCATTATCATTGACTTGGTCAAGTTCGGCAATTATCATCACAGGGCGTGCACATCGGGCGAGAGCAGAGGCAGTCCTGCAATGGCAATCGGAGAAGAAGTGGTGCCCAGCTGCTCTGTGGCGTAGCCAGCGACGCTAGCGATCGTGGGATAGTCAAAGATCAGCCTTGCCACGACGGCTTTGAAGTTTGCACGTAACGCCTGCTGCACCAATCATGCAGCCCGAGCCACGTATTTGGCAAGTCCAGGGAAGGAAGCTCGCTTGAGAGTCGATTGCGGAACTCTACTGCGGAGAGCGAATCCATGCCTCTGCAAGTACAAGGGCAGGTCTGTTGGATCCACACTTCGTACGCGAGACTCCTACACCATGGGCAGTACGAGGCAGTCGTGTGCCAATAGTATCGGGAACCCTGCTAAATAGAATAGGGTTTCGGGTATATTGTAGCACGCAGAAGAAGGGACCATAAAAGGAATAACGCCACAAATTCCGACAACTAGTTTAGCTTCCATCGCGTATAGGGCACCAGATTCCATCAAGGGCTTGTCTTCCTCGACGAGGCCACCCGTCGTATCGGAAGCAATGCGCTTCAGCAGCTCCTTCACCTGCCAACACCACAACCTTATGGTTTAGGGTTTAGGGGTTTTGGGTTTAGGGCACCCACCCACCCACCCGCCGCCTCAGACAACGCATGAAAGATATATTGCACTACGCGCATCATGCATAAAGTGTAGGCAGCAGGAGGAAGAGTGCTTCTTTCAACAAGAACTCTCATTATGGCTGTCATCATCATCACCGCCACCATCATCACCACAGTGGCCTCTGTGGGGCTCGGGCCGGCAGGAACCATGGCCTCCGGCAAACCGTTGGCCATCGCCTCAAAAGGCTTCGGACAAAATATATTTTTATTTTATATAATCTAATATAATATAATATA